TATCAGTTGTCACACTGATAAGAGCAGATACTAAGATACTACATATACTACACTTGATCATAGACCGCCCTGCACTTGTGCCGGCAGTGTGGCTTTTCAATTGCTGGCAACTCTTCCCACCTGGCTTTTCCTCTCATTCCTCTCTCTTGGATTTTTGTCGTGTCGCCGAAGGCTATGTTGCCATGCCGGTGGGCAAGTTTTAAACTTTCCCGTGTCAACCATCGTTCGGAGCACCGTTTTGTTTGTCACATCGTGCTGCTGGCTCGCATTTTTCGGTAACCGCTGCAACCGCTGTCTCTGCCCTGAGCCGGTGACCCTGGCCCAGTGGCTGCAGGATGTGCAGGAACTGACCAGGCTGCTGCAAGTGACCTCATAAAGCCAAACCACAGTCTCGAATAATTAGTTTCAATGCAGGTTTCTGTTCCTCCATTTCAACCCTTGCCGCAGGTCTCGGCAACCCTCTGACCTACACCCCATGCTATCCGTGCCTGCCGGCTATTTAGGCTTCGAAGCCTTTGCCCCTCACTCGTTAAAGACACCACCAGTCTCAAGCCAGTCTTCTCTCGACTGACATGCTACAAGGGCCCTTGCATCATGCTTCGTTCAGCACAAGTCGCTCTCTGTTCGGTGTTTGGGGCCCACGCCACATCGGGTAGCAATCTGGCTTGCAGCATGACTTGTAGCAGCGCCAGCGACTGGACCTTGCTGCTCTGCAGCAAGTTACAACGAATTGATGGATGATGCCACTTTCAGGGTGCGGACCGTGACGATCGCTCGTACATTTGTGTGGCACCGCCAAGACTTGTTTTCATGAAGTTGACAAGGCTGTTTGCGAGGCACACGCTTCGTCCTGCTTCGCTATGCTACAGCCCTACGTGCCGTAGCATCCCCATGTGTTTGGCAACTTCTCCTTGTCGAAGTGGTAAGTGTCTTTTTTTGTTCCGTAATTAGGCTTTTTGCTCACCATACCTTTTTGTAACTCACGTGGCTGGCCGAGCAAAAAAAGAACACCGGCCGCGCTTTTTTGTTCGGGGCGCGGCTGGTCGAGCAAAAAAACACAGGTCGCGCTTTTTATTGTTCGGGACGCGCCTCTTGATTTCAATATGATGTCTATTGATTTTAGTAGGATTCTTCTTAATTTTAATAGGATTCTAGATAATTCTATAAAGGATTCTATTGGTTAATCGGATTCTTTTTCATTTTAATAGGATCAAAACAATCGATTAAGGATTTTATTAATTTCAACAGGATTCCTATTAATTTAACCTACCGCCACAGAGGGCGAGTACTAACGATTCCATGAATTTCAATAGGATTCCTATTACTTTTAGTAGGAAAGGAAAAGAGCTGGCCGAGCAAAAAAAACCACTCCGGGCGAGTTTTTTTGTTCGGGACACGGCTGGCCGAGCAAAAAAAACAACACTCCGGGCGCGTTTTTTTGTTCGGGACGCGTTCGGTCACTCACTCACTTGCGGGCCGGGGCCCGTGCGGGCTTTCGTCCAGGGGCGCGTTTTTTTTGGGGTGGACGCGCCTCTGAAATTCAATAGGATTCCGATTAATTTTTATAGGATTCGTACTAATTTTAGTAGGATTTTTAATTTCAATCGGATGTCTATGCATTGCAATAGGATTCTGAATAAATTCAGTAGGAAATGAAAAGGGCTGGCCGAGCAAAAAAAACACACGTTCCTTGTCGAAGTTGTCCAAACTGAAGAAGGCCACTCGCTTCGATACAGTGAACAAATGCAAGCATTTCAACAGGTCGAAACTCGTGGCAGGGTCACGACCTTGTGATGTTGAAGTCGAATACGGTGTAGCGGGCTACGGGTTCTCAAACGGTGTAAGACAAGTATCTCGATAATGAACTTCCGCAATTACCTTTTTAGGCTTTAGTTCGTCAAGCATGCTAATTAGTTACGGATTGAATTCATGTTGTTTCGAAGAGGTCCTGAGACGCCACGTGCCAGCGGACACAGTCTGCTCATATTTCCTACTCAGATGGTACAGTCCAAGCAATTGAACCTGGCAATGCAAAAACGTGTCTGCAACCTCGCAGCACTCCCGCACTTCCACACGACTGGAATACACGGCCTGCATGTAGAGGACTCATTCGCCGAGGTGCAACAAACAACTTGATCTTTATAAACACTCTGGCCAGAAGCTTGGGGGCACTGCCCATTGCAGGCGACAGGCATTCATTGCTGCCTCAGCTGTGCCAAGCAGGGTCCAGAAGACGGAAGAAATAATTCAAGTGGTCCGGGTCTTGGCTACCAGACTGACTCGGGTACAAGCTGAATCAGCGCAGAGGTGCGATGCAGCTGGCCTGACGCAAGGTTTCCTGAGCCTGCAAACTAAGGCCGGGCACATTGAAGGTAAAAGCATCCAGTTTGCTTGGCGAAAGCTCTGCCGCAGCATCCTGCCAAGGTCGTGCTGACAGAGGAAGTGCTGATCGTAGGCGTACTACATCACCGACTCAGCTTTTAGCAAAACGTACCACATCTCCTCACCAAGCCCGGAGCATTTCAGAAGCATCAACCTGGTGTTGGACTCCGACCAGCATCCCCCTTCCCCACAACTGCGGTGTTGTGAATAGAGGCGCCAGGGAAGCACTCTGGCAAGGGCGACATGTGGGAGCACAAAAATGAAATGACGCGGATCGCGCGAATCGAGAAGCTGAAGCCAGGCAAGTTTCTGGAGGCATCAGGCTTAGGTTTGACGCGAACAACACCCCCGGGCTTTGTCTCATCAATGGCGAACCGCCGGTGTGGTGCCGTGTTGTTGTTCCCCAATGCGGCGGGGTTTTGTTCCCGGATGCAGCTCTGCCCACTCCTGAAGAAGGTGCAGAGCGCGAAGCCACTGGAGGCCTGGACAAGCAATCACCAACGTCCGTCGAAAATTCCCCAGGCCTAAAACTAAAAGATGCCACGCGGGCTATGCGGCGCACACACGCACAAGCTCAGACAATGTAACCCTTCGTTTCCTCCGGCCAAGCCATGCAGGACAGAGTTGAGGCTGATGACGTCGGCAAGGCCAAGATGCCTGCTCAAGAGCATCTCACATTGACAGTGACAACTAAGATATGTAATTAGAAACTGACAATCTCGACCAACACACTATCTAAGCGTACCTGTGCGCACATATCCGATTACCTGTTTGTTCATTCGTATCTGACACTGTTATATTCTGTGCGAATGTAGGCATGCAGGTATCTGAACAGTGAGTTACTACACGTAAACCGGTAAACAGCTCCAGGGCTTGACAGGTTAGTAGACGGAGCATTAGACTCGTCAGACGGAGCATTGGATAGAAACGCGGATAGACAGATGTCGGGTGCGTATTTGTGTATCAAAACGTTCGACAGCTACACAGGGCCCTCACGATCCCCATCATCTCTCCGAAATCTTGCAAAGAGAAGGCAGCAGGCTGATAAGCCCGCGACGTCATGTGCTGCAGGCAGCCCAGAGCCATCTCCCACCTCAGTCGCTGCCATCTACTACCCCGAATGGCACAGTATGCCGAAGACCTCGCCAGTAACTTCTGCGTGCCTGGGACTACTCTCGAAGCACCTCTGCGGTTGTATTCCCCCAAATCCCTCCATGTGGTCAGCCATGGGACGCTTGACCCGTGCTGCATGCTGCAAGCATGCTGTTGTAAGCCACGGTGTTTGGCCTGGTGCCATGCGGATCTGAGAAGACGCGTATTGAGTTGCGGTCGGTGCGGTCTCAGTGCGCCTCACACCCATCTTTGACATCGCAGACACCAGACCTGAGTCCGATGCACCCGACAGGCGAGGGGCTCACCCGCCGCTGTCCGACATTACAGGCTCGGTGGCTGGGCGCAATCACGAAGGTATAATCTACGCGGCTGCAGACCCGTGTCCCAAGTTCCGTGCCAATCGCATCTTGCCACTTTGCCGCCCTGTTACAGGACACTGAAGAGTTTTGTATCTTGCGTGCAGCAGTTCTCGCTTGAAAGCCACTGATGAACTTTTTGTTTTCGTCAGGGTAATTCACCAAATCTCTGCAAGAGCCATCGTCCAAGCCGTCTGGCAATTCCTATAATTCCTTCGACACGACACCTCGCCATGTTTTGTCACGCGCTTCGTTGGCCCACCGAGCCTTCGGTGGACCTTCCAAGGGCAAAAACCAACCCCAAAGTCGCAAACTTCGAGCCTGGCGCAGGCCGTGATCCCAACGGAGAGAGCGACGACATCTGGCGTGCAGCCGCGAGATGGCCATTCCTTGAAATCAGCGTTGAAACGGCCATGTTGAAAGGCAACCTCCCTAAACGGTTGCCGAAGGCTCCTGCAGTTCTGCCAGCACTTGCCACCATGCACCCTGCCGCGCGAGGAGTTGCAACCTCCTGAAGGGTGGGGTGCATCTGAGCATGTGAATCAGGCTACAGCTGCACGACCTACGTACAAGGATGATAGACATGAAGATGTTCCGCTAACCACATTGGGTGTCTTTAGATGCGCTCTTCACCTTGGTCGCACAAATCCGTGTTCACTTGTTGTATTTTTCATGTACGTGTCCACGTCCCGACCTCAGAAGACAAGACCACCCCAGAATGAAAAGGATTGTTGAACGATCACGGCAGGGTCAGGGGCTGGTTAGGGTGCTATCGCCGATTTTCAACGACCGCCTCAATTCGAATCGTTCCTGACTATGCTTTGATGGGCCTACGGCCCTATGTTCGTCGGACATCATGTGCATCCTGCTGTGACTACCAGCATCGGGTGTATCTCACATCAGTCGGCGAGAATGCACATCACCCCATTGTGGACGTTGCTTCAGAAATTGCACATCAGTGGCAAAAGCTCGCATCAGTAGTCATGCAGCAAAGTTATGCATTATTATGTTACACGCCAGCGCAGATGCTCCGACTACTCTAAGGAATCGAGGCCCTGGATATCGAAATACACTCGGGATGCAGGCAAGAACGAAAATCGATGATCATCCGTGGTTTGTCTGCCAGCCTGCCTGGCTTTAAAGACGGCTCGCCTGCGACCTTAGAACCTCAACAAAAGTTGCTGACGGGGCCATGCCGGGCCGTGAGGACAGACCATAACAACCCTCTCGTTGGTAATCGTTGGTAGGTTTCACCTCCTCGCGACGCTGATGCTGATGCCTCTGTTCCTGTTTCATGCATATTCCGGACGCGTAAGCAGCCGACGAGTCTCAACGGCTTGAGGATGGATTTTCCCCAAATACGAGGCTGTCCATTCGAGTCGTTCTGCTGTGCTTTTCAATGCAAGCAGCTGCTGCCGGCCTGAGAACTTCACGCGAAGGCGTCCACCTGTAGTTCAGGTAGGGGCAGGACAAGTGACAGAAGCCCAGGCTGTCGGCGGCTGCTACACCGATGATTCGTCTGCGAATTCCTGCCAGCATGATCCTCTCTCGCCACGTCTCCGTGGCTTCATCTCTACCGTCTTCCTTGTGGTCCGCCTCACTGATGGCATGGTGAACAAGCCTTGGCAGCAAAAGGGTGAATCAGGAACGCTCATCACTGGTGCTCAGGCCTAGCTTCCTGTACTGCGGCCCCGACCGCGGAAAGCCGCGCCAAGGTCTTTGCTTGATGAAATTCACCATGGCTTACACCGAGGCTCCCTAGCGGCTCAATAACTCTGCACGCGAGGAAAGTGTTGTCTGTGGTCCCTAAGCAGAGTTCGTGCCAGGCCCAGGGTGACTGCGCAGCCACTCTCTGAGCTCCGAAGCCACAATGCGAGGCCGATGTGACGAGGCACATTTGCACTGACCGTTTGGCAGAAACCAGGAGAGGAATGATGTAAAACCATCGCCGATTCCACTTAAGTTCTGCTTTCAACAATGGTAGCCCTGTCTCACAACCTGCAACACAGACGCACGATGCAATCGGCAAAGTAGCGGCGTCGACAAGTGGACGGTCAACACTGCCCCCTGGAAGTGACTCCTTTTCGTCAAGGCCCGATCGTTTTTCCTGCAGAAGTGACACACGCAGAACTTGGTAGATTCGAGGCAGTTCGGCACCGCCGTGCCTCAAGCAAGCGACATGCTCAAAACGCTACACCCTGCAGCAGACAAGTCTTACTTCCTTCAAACCCATAATGCAGTAAACAAAACGATCCCAGACGTCTTTCCTCGATGTCAGCATAGGTCAGCTGTGGGCTTCACTCCTCGCCCTGGAGGCCCTGGAGGCTAAACACCCGGCTCGGCTCTATTTGCAAAGCACTCAGACTCCATTTAATGGAGCCCGGCCCGTGAAGCATGACGGCCTCCTACGGCTTCCGTGCTGCCGGTGCCATGACGGCAGTATCTCGAAACTGCTCGACGTTTCGCAGATAGCAGATGAAGCTGCTGACTGATCACAGGTGCAGCAGAAAGCGCAGTGCAGCAATCACGCTCAGGGGGCGAAAACAACGTGTCAGCGCCTTGCGATGGCTGTCTGGCAGATGTTGTGTCAAGCTTTCTCTATTGCTCTACTCTGCTGTAAAGCATCCTCGACAATGCTCAAAGCACGATACTTCTGCGTATCTTGCGTAAAGCTTGGCATGCACGATGGCAAGCCTTACCTTACTTGCTTGCTGCTCTGAGCTGGCAGCGGGAGAAACTCTCAGTCGTCATCACTGTCAAGCTCCTCGCACCGCAGAACTTCCAGGTCCGCACAACCTCGATTCGATGCCGACGGAGCGAAGGCAGGAGCTGTCCTGGATAAACTCCTGGCAATCTTCTACGATGATCGGGGACGCCTCCGCGGCCTCAAGCTCGGAATAGCTCGGAATGGCCGAAAGCTCACACCCCCTCGGAGCTAAGCCTCCGCGTCGGCTACGTCTGGGTCAGCCTCACGGCATCACAAGGCCATCGGGTGATGTAGGAGCTACTTCCACACACTGCGATGCTGCAGGCCTGCACTTCCGGCAGCTCGTGTCCTGGGCTCTTCCGTCCCAAACCCCGATTGGCACCCGACACACAGCAATGCAATTGCCTTCTTACTTCGCTGAAGGTTCAAGTCTTTAGGATCCCCTCGGCGAAGGCATAGGCCCAGCCCTTCAAGGTCTGCTCAGCAACCGGCTGGAAGTATGGAAGCCGTCATCACCGTCATCCTGGTGCGGTGGTGAGACATGCTGACCACTTTTGTAACATCGCGCTCCCTTCCTCCTCGTCATCGGAGAAGTCGAGCTGGAGAAGGCGCTGAGCCAGCGAGAGTCCCTGGCCCTTGGCCCGCACTCTCAGATGCTCAGACTCCGCTCCGCTCTGCTCCGCTCTGCGCCGTGCATCGCCGGTGCCTTGTCGGCGTAGCGCTCCGGCGCCGGCCCGGGTAAGGGCCCGGCCTAAGCTTGGGCTCGGATGGCTCGGCACAGCGGCGCTCGGGTGCCCCGCCTCCAACCAGGCCTCGCCGTCCTCCCGAGGAGATGCCTGGTGATGAGGGTGAGGAGCACCGCAATTTCGAAGGGGGCGGACACCGGACCGAACTTTCTTCGTTCTTACGGGATCCACAATACCGAAGTCTGAATTTTTGGGCTGCAGGCTGGTATGCTCAGGCCCACGACTTCTTCGGCAGCCTGTCCGACTGTTCGGCACGCTCTGGGACTTAAGAATCAAGAAGTCTGGGGTTAAGCCCCGGTGTCCACGGTCTTGCTACCACCACTGTTACGACGACTACGCAACGAGGACTGATACCATCGTGGGCTGCATCACCAAACACGGCCAAGCACCAGCCTCTCCCAGAATGCCTACAGCAGCGGGGGTCGGCGCATCGAAGAGCAAATTGTTGGAAGGCCTGCCACACAAATTACTTGCTGTAAAGACCAAGGGTGCCGAAGGGTACTTTTGATCAGACTCAGCAGCGAAATCCATGCATTTATCAAGGCCCCATCTCAAACTGGCCTTCAAGCCCCTGGGATTCAGTGCACGTCGTCTCCAAATGTGGTCGATGATCATGGTGGGTTTCTGAAGTTGTAAGTCGTATCGCCGCCAATCGTTTGTAGATCTTGTCGCCTGCACTCACTCTACGGCGAAGACTTCACTTCGGTGTGTCACGCTGTGGCAAGCTGTGGCTGGACACCTTTAATCCGTAGTCAAAGCTTTGGTCGTCAACGTCAAAAAGCCTTCAACGCCTCATGTCGCGCATTCGTGCCTGTTGCCCGGCGTGCTGCTTTCTGCACAAGGAGTCACTGTGTTCACACGGCATAAGCGAAACGCTTGGCGAAATGCTGTAGCTCTAGTGGCACTACCTGTCGCTTTGGCCATTAGATACCACATGACATTTGTAAACATCGCATGTGACCAGGAATCTCTGTAGTGGTCGCATGCTTTATTAGTTAAACTGCCGCCCCGATTTCTGTGTTTATCTACTGCACGTCTTACCATCGACACTCTACTCACTCTACTCATTGTATAGTTCATTGGCTGACTGATACATTTGAAACGTGTACTGCTGTCGTTGATGATGAGGATGATGATTATGGCGGCGGTGATGGTGATGGTGGCAAAGATGCGATGCCGACGAGAATCATGAAGAAGTTGCGAAGAAGAGAATGATGAAAAGTTGCTTGGGTTTGTGACAGCCATGGGGGGTTGGCGGCGGCGCAGGTATGCGGAGGTAGGCAGGTGCTTAGCTGGCGCTTTCTGCTGCCGGTGATCACCAGGATGAACGCAATTTGTGGTTCTGTTGCATTTGTTCTCCATCGTGAATACTGCTCGCGCCCTACTCCAAGGCCTTTGCAGTTTCTTTGGCAAGCGGGCAGAGGGAAGCTGCTCCGTCCTGGCGGAATACCTGCCAAGAACCGCGAAGGGCTGAAACGAGGGGCCGGCAGCTGAGTCGGCGTCAAAATTACTTGTTCATGCTGCTTATGTTTTTTGAACTAGCGTGTCCCCTATCGTTTTCCGAGGAATTCGCCTAAGGCAGTTGCAGGGACCAAAGTATAACTAAGCCTATCGTTTTAGCACGTCCCCTATCGATCTTGGGGGTTCTGGCTCAACAACTACCCTCTACACTAAACTACATTGACGATAATTTTGACTCCATCTCAGCTAACGAAACCGAACTGGCGAGTTTCCCTTCAACTTTGCCCTGACTCTCCCTGGCAGCAACATCAACCGAAGCTCTTAGAGGAAGCCTTTCTTCATCAAAGGGATCTGCGCAGGGCGGTTTTAGCTTCCACTCCAAAGCTTCCAGGCTCCGAGGCCCCGGCAAGCTCAAGTCCTCGCCGTCCTCTCATGAACTGGAGTTCAGCTATTCAGGTTGCTGTACCCCGGGCAGGACAGACTTTGCAACACAAAGCACAGCGGGCTTTGCGGGTAGTGCCGGTCCTTGGTCTCGGGGAGGTCCAGCTTTATGCAATAGGAGACCTGCAGAGTTTCAGGCGTCAGAATGAGGTCCCCAAGGCCTAGGCGGGGCTTTCAACAAATCTCAGTCCTAGAGAAGAGCGCAAGAGCTAACTTGCAAAGCCGATTCCCTGCACTCTTCACCTCCACAGGCTGCTCCATGGGCGCCATGAGCGATTCTGTTAGTCCAGGAACCTTGAAAATTCGGTGACTCTTTCTTCGACCATGACCAGAACTGCTCAGCTATGCCATGCCGCTCCAGCTTAACACGGGACGTGTCACGTGTGCTTTTGCTGCGGAGAGTGAACATGTACGGTGCATCCTGCTGGCTCGATGCTAAAGCTTCGCGGCAGAAGGAAGTGCCCTTGCACAACGACTGGCAGTCGTGGAGTCGATCGCACCCACACGAACAGCGGCATGAGAGCGCTGAGTTCACGCCTGCCCTTGCTTTTGGGGGGTCGTGCGCGGCTGTCTGTGGGTAGTCTGGACAGCCCGAGCGGTGCTAAGAGTGACACAGGCCAGAGGAAGCTAGCCACCGGGGCAGGGGATTGCCAGTCATGACCGGGGCACTCTGAGCTTGGGCAATGTTCAGCCTCCTCCGGCACAAACTTCGCCTACGACTCGCCCACAAACAAAGCTTTACGACAGAGGCGGATGAGGCGTTAGTGTGGGGAATGGAAGGCTTCTACTTAAACAAGTAGACCACAGATGCTGTCCTGAACGCAGCTTCTCACTTTGTCGGCTTTCGCCTCGGCAAATTGAACAGTTGCAGGTGCAAAATCGAAAGCACGGCTGCCCTCATTGATGTCCCCATGTGGCTGCAACCACACTAAATACCTGTACGGTTACGCGATGTCAAATGTGTCAATGCACCACGTGCGACTGCGAATAAACGTACATACAAGTAGCTTTCCAAACAATGACACTCTGAATCCAAACAAGTGCTTTGGTAGTTGAAAAGATACGATTGCTCGTATCCACTGGATATCCATTCGTGGACGAATACGAATGGTTATCCCTGACACTATTCAAACACACCCTAAAAATGAAAACATTTCTCGCAAAACGAACCCGGAATTGGGATTAGGGGGTTCAGGAGCAGGCGTCTTAGTTGGATTTTGGCCCCTGTCTTCCGAGGAGTAGGGCTCCATACCTACATTCCGGACCCCAGCTCCGCCGCGGAGCGACGTTTGCTACTTTTTCGGAGGGCACTGCAGCCTGTTTACTCTCTACGATTATGTTCATCTGCACCCACTGGCCCACTGCACTTAACTGGGCTGGTCATTGCTCCCCTTTTTAGTCTGGGTATCCTTTTACTTTACGTTGGATCTGGTGACCAAGCTTCGCAGAAGCAACAGCCCCCCCTGGCATCGCAAACAGCAGAAGGCTCGCGTGCGCGAGCCAGACTGCAGTGCCATCACGGCAAGGGCTCCAAACGGGATGACACCACGGCTCAATGCCCCCGAAAGGCGGGACAGCGTCTGGCAAAGGCAAGAACAAGAGTGCCCAGGAAGACTCCCAGCAGGATATCATCCAGTTTGGGTACCCTCCACCTCTGGTCGCCGCCTTACAGGCCATTTCCACCAACGCCACTGCTGGTTCGGCTTGCGGCATGTCTACTAGCCTTCAGCACTGCCAGTCAGGTACCAACGACACCGAGTGTCAATCGTGCCCCTGCTCACACGTCTGCAGGTGCTGGTGTGGGGATGCCGCCATCGTCCATTGGGGGCAGTCTGTCACTTTTATCGACGGTGGGGATATCGATCGTCCGCCTGACTGCTCCGGCTCCGACTCCGACTGCCATGGCGGTCGATGCGGCCAGGTTCGAGACCCCGCCAAAGAGACGATGGAGCAACAGAGGAACGTGGCCGGACAGGCCCTCCAAGAGCCCACGGTGGGAAGTAGACCTGCCGAGCCCCTGGCCTCAGCAAGCTGCAGGCTGGACACCGGAACGTGGCGGGCGTCCGTCAGTGGCGACGCAGGACCAGGAGGAGGAGGAGGAGTAGGCGCTTATTATCACGGCTTCCTTCAAGTTGGCTCTGACGTGGATTGACGGCACGGCACACGGTGGAAACATATTGTGTGGAACACGGCACTGCGCTCGTCGGTCAGTGGGTCATTTCCGAAGAGCAGGAACAAGCCTTCCCTTTGCGTGATCTCGATGCCGGCCCGCAATCCCTATAGGACGATGGGGAGGCTCTCTGGCAGAACTTGGAGCAGGTGTTGACGCAGCCGGAAGCATCCCCCCTACTTGCTGGTGTGATCGAACGCCTACGTCAACTGCCCATCTAGTGTCGTTCCATGCCCTTACAAGGCCTGCTTGCTCCGGCACAAAGTGTCACAGGAAGCCTCTATGGTGTCGCAGATTTTGCGCCTTCTACTCCGCAGGAATGGTTGTACCCGAGCGAGCTTGTGGCAGAAATTTCCTTGACTGGACATATCCCCACAGCATGGGGATCGGTCGCAGCGGCGGAAGACGAAGAATTCTGAAGCAAAGGAAGCCGTGGACACCTCACCTGGAGCATGCCCTGAAATGTGCAGTTTTCCTTCACGGATCCTTGTACAGCCCTTTCGCTGTGCTTTGCTGCGTAGGTCTGTGCAGGATCTGGAAGCTCTGTATAGCTTGTTTCGACACCACAGGTGGCAGTGCGGAGGCCCGAGGCCCCGGGTCATCCAGATCCTTTGCAGCTCTATGGCCACAGATTGCTGGATCCTTATGGTGGTGCATCCAGATCTCCACTCCCCGGCCTCCGTGTGCTCTCCACTGTGTCAACTCTGGGCTTTGGCACGCTACTTGCGCTGCTCCTTTTGCAATCTTTTGCAGTGCACACATTGCACACCTTGTGTTCCGCTCGGGGCGATCCTGCTTCAGTCTTGAGGCTGGCTGCCCTCCACCAGCATGTGCAGGGCGATTATCAGTTGGTTTCTCCGATCCGACGTTTCCTCCCCCTGCGTGCCGTCGAGCACTCCCTGCTCCGGTGGTGGGCTGTTTCACCATTTCAAGTGCATGCTTGGGCCTGCAAGCGCCCATTTTCTTAGGATTGCGGCCCGCTCGCTTTTCGATCCGAACCTAGTTGCACAGGACCTTGTGGACCAAAACACTTTTCGAGTTTCTATTGGGGGCGTTTCCTTGTCGCCTCCCCACAGCCGCGTCTCGCCCGGCACCGGAGCGGGGCAGCCACAATACGATGCACTCGACACACCTTGTCGCAAGATACGGTCGATCACGAGCTATTCCACCGCAAACCCTAAACCCTAAATCCTAAACCCTATATTCGATACTGGAGCACTTTGTCCTGAGGTCTAGAAGTCAAGTGTGCGATGTGGGGATACCCGGGTGCAGCACCGCATCAGGAGCTCGTACATCAGCGTGGGCTCCTCATGCATGTGGATGCTCATGACTCATGACTCACCTAAGCGCACATGGAGTTTCCCGGGCATGTCCCAGCAACACCATGCTGGCAACATGTCTCACGACAGGTTTACATGCAGAAGGTCCTGTATCAGCTCCTTAAAGGCTGGAGTGGGCTTGATTTTCTCTTCGTTGGTGATGATGAAATCCTCAGCTGATGGTCTGTTGGCACTCTGACCATCCTGTAGCAGGATTCGAGCACTTGGACCCTGGCCATGCAAATGTCCTTCAGACCATCCGCCCGGTGCGCCTGCAAATTGCCATGCATACATGCAGTGTGTAAAGACACTTTTCAATTGGAATACAGACATGTCGTGGGTCATAGAGGAGTTTAGCAGGCCTTTGCCGTCATCATGATCTGGACGACATTGTCGATGGAGATCGATTTTCGGATGATGTCCTCACATAGCGCCTGCGACCATGCCAGTACTCGATGGCGAACATGGCACGGACTGGCCGCTGTGACATCCAAGCCGGTCCAGGCTTTTTCCTTGCGCACATCTCTCATCACAGCCAGAATGGCCTTAAGCAGCTTGGGAGGGAGTGATGCAGTGAGCCTTACTGAGGCCTACTGTACTCATGAAGAGGGCTTCGTGATTCACTGACTCCCGCAACTGTGCATCTGGGCTGCGCAACATGTCAAGCTGCGCTTCAGCTTGATCTTGCATCTTTCTGCGAAACGTGTCGAAACCATGGTATAATATATAGAGCCTCCAGGATGAAGCCGCTGTCTTAAGACTCGCCTCTGTCAATGCTTTTGTGACCCCCGGGAGGCTCTCTGGCAATGGAAAACTCTTCTGGCAAGCTCGAGGACGCTCTTTGTCCCGCCGCTGCCGGTGCCTGTAGTCATGTTTTGTTTGGATGCTGTGAGGCTGCCAGCTGCACGTCCAGCCTTCAAAATGGGCTGGCCGTGTCACGTCGGGTTAATCCGCGGCTCACCAAAAGGCAACAAAAACACCAACACATCCGTCTTGTGCCAACTCCGTAGTGTTGTGTCCGCTGAGCTCTCTGCTTAGTCGCAGAGCGGCGGTGCGATGGTTTTGACAGGTTCCGTGAGATATTCTTGGTTGTGCACCCCATTACCCCTCGTAATGCTCCAACCTTCAAAACCACCCGCTGTCAGCTTCCATTCACTCGGCATTCACAAGGCGTCTGCAGAGCCTGGCATGGTGCAACTGTGTTTCATCGGTTACGTTCACCCTTGAACATGATGCACATTGCCAATGGATGACTCTTGCTCAATCTTGTAGCTTATTGGCATGGCGGCCTGACAGCTGCCACAGGTAGCTGTCAGCAATCTTGCATCAGGACTACCTGGCGTGCTGGCCGGTAAACAGCGCAGGCTGGTAAGTGCGATTGAGCAGAGCATGTTATGTCCTGTCAAGCAGCATCCGACACAGATCACTCGATCTCCGCGGGGCAAGTGACTCAACATGGCAGGTGGACCCCAGCATAGGCCTGCGATGCAACATGCCTTCCCTCCCATTTACCAAAACTGAAACATGTTCAAGCGCACGTTTGAAGAAGCTTACAGCCATGGCTTGCCGAGCTTAGTGCAAGCAACTACCGCGTGTAGTACCATGAAGTATCATGAAAGCCGCAAACACGAAGCAACAGAAGCACAATGTGTTGTCGAGGTGGTGGACGTGGTGATCTAGCGCTCGTGGCGGCGGCGGCGGTGGTGGCGTGATGATGATGGTCGCACTGACCGCAGCGTCGGTGGCAGCAGCGCTGGCAGTGGCACCAGCAGTGCTGCCAGCAGTGACAGCAGTCATCGTTGTAATAGCCTTGCAATCATTTTGGTGTGGTGGCGGTGGTAATGGTCGTGGTAGTGGCAACAGCAGTCGTTGTCGTCGCCGTCGTCGCCGCAGTACTCGTCTCGAGGTTCAGAGTTCGCCATTGCTTGGAGCTTGTAGGGTGTGGCACCACTGGCCGTCAGAATTGGGGGTGGATTTCTATGCTTTGTTTCGGGCGAGACCCGCTGTGTGGATTCCACAGATTGCCTCCACATTCAGCTGTGCCGAAGCTCGGACAACAAGTGAAAAGAAGGCATGGGCCTCCAAAGGTACCTCGAGGCAGTTCGGAAATCCGTGAGTAGGACAGCGCTGGGTCACCTGCATAAGCGCGGGTTGCAAACGACCATGCACTGCGCGTGTTGTGTTGGCATCTCTGCGTCAAACCAACCCCTGTCCATGTGAGATGCAACGCCTGCGATTGCAACTCCCACCTGGATGTCGTCTGGAATGTTCTCCAAGCGGGGAGTGCTCCTCGGATAATGCAGAGCCACTCATGTCTGACCACTCTTGACCCCAGTACTTCAACGGCCGGGTCCCGCAAAGGATGGGCCCATGACTGCCTTCTCTACGTACAGTAGGGCACAAAGTACAAGGTCAAGTTGGCTCAAAATATAGTCTAGACAAGCGGCGCAGCAATGTGCCAAATTCGAGAGGGTGGCACCTGGTTGCAAATCAAAGGAAGCTATGCAGCAGGCGCCGTTCTGGAGCAACTGAGAGGGACAGCTCGGGCATTCGGGCATCCCACGCCGATGGTGTAGTGGCCGAAGTTGTGGTTGCGGAAGTTGAGGACAACAAGGGCTAGGCCTCGGGCAAGGGTGTGCCGAGAAATCGGTGAAGGCCGGCACTCCGCCACTCCTCAGATCGTCTGGTCTGAGACCCAAGCGTACACCGCACGTTTTCTTGTTTCGGCTCTCCTCTGCGGTGAGTACAATTTTGAGTGCCATGAAAGAAATGACAATCACAACAGCATCCGAAAGAAGCAGGTCACTGCTCCAATTCTTGCTGCACGGGAGACAATTCGGCTGCTGTTCTCACATCTGTCTGAAGGCTGTCCTCGGCTTCATGCCAGCGAAGGTAGGCCAATACACCACCCTGGTCGTGGAAGATGTGAATCTCAGCAAAGCGAGCAGGCGCCACCCTCTTTTGAAAAAACTATTGGGCGGAAAGTGCTGCACAAGGCCCCTACACCATCGCCCTGCAGCGGGCTTGCTGACGGTGTGCCACTTCGCCCCACCCTGGAAGAAAAACCGGCAACGACTCCATGTGGACTTGCTCTAGAAAGCTTGACTGCCTCAGTGCAATCAGATCCTGGCAAAGCATCTTCCAGGCAGCCTCGGAGAGGTGAGCAAGTGCGCGCGCGCTAGGCACGACTCCGGAAGCTGGGGATGCCCGGCCGGGATCCCGGATGTCTCCATCGCCTCATGGCCACTCATGGCTGTCGCATTCTGTCGCTCTGGTCATGGCTGGTGGCAATATGGGCGTAGCTGGGCTGCACACTCGGTCCCAGTCCAAAGCTGGTCCATTTGGCCAGCAGTATGGCTGGCAATCACCCACCTGTTGAGGCAGCTACTGGTACGTAGCTTGGGAAGAAAACCAAAGCTTTGCACAAGGCCTCCTGGCCCTGCAGCAGCATGGGCACGCCAGGGCAGGTGAACATCAAAACCAGGCCTGAATTTTTCCCCAGCGAAACAACAGCATCTATGAAATCAGCAAACTGGCAAACTGGCCTAATGCCGCCCGTCTCCATGCAAACTCATTCGTGGCGACCTGATGCGAGCGGGTTGAAGGTGCAAGCAAGGGCAAGCCTGCATGCCTCGGTGACTAGAAAGCAAAAGCGTAATTTCAAGTGTCTACTCACGGATGTGTCCGTCCAGCCTCTTCGGGGTCTGGGTAGGGCAATCTTCCACCAGCCTCCCCAGCTGCAGTACATCTCAGGTTTTCTCTCCGTGCGAAATGGCGCACAGCTTTTGCATCTGGGCAAGGGACTTGCTGGAATGCATCGCCGCCTCCGCCCTGGGTCCACAGTGAAAACATCAGTTCTAGCAAAGTCGGTAGCACCAATCACCGGAGACAACATGTGGACTCTGCCGCAGCTTTGGTGCTTGGGTGGCGCCTCGGCTCCCTCTTTCATGAACGCCCGTCCGTTGTGCACAGCTGCTGGAACCTCACACGAAGCAGGGCTCTTGCATGCACATGTACTGTACCTAACTCTGTGTATATGTATGCATACATGTAATTACTGAGACGGAGGTCTATACCTATCCACATACATACTATACGTATACCCATGCATCCATACCTACATCTATACATACGTACATACAGTTACATAATTACGTAAATATCTCGCTCTGTGTGTCTTTCGGGCTCAGGAGCCGATGGCAGATTCCCACGGCGCAGTAGAGAGTCTGGCCACGAGGAAACATGAGTCAAATTACCGCGATCGCGTACACTTTCAAAGTGTGTCAGGAAATATGCTGGACCTACTGCAGCTCAGACTCTTGACATTCGAACGACCGCCAGGACGAATTGAACCAGTGGGACTAGTGCACAATGTCTTGAAGCCTAACACACGACGAGACCGATAGGTCTATGTGACTACTAGTATGTGACTTACTGTTAACTTTCTCTCTCTCTACCAAGACAGACCGCCCGCGCGTGCGCACGCCTGCGGTCCCAAGTGGCCCTTCGGGGGCTTTGTCCCTCCCAGCTCGGCTGCACAGCTGGCCACAGTTCTTCTTCCTTCGGGTTAAAGGGGCATGTTAGTCCCCGCGGCGCTTAGGGCCTGCACTCCATCTGGCTGATGCTCGTCATCAGCTGGACCACCAAGACGAGTCTTGTTGAGCTGTGCTCATCAAGTTGCCCACGGTGCCAATCACCTTTCCGTTCCTTGTATTTCGTCATCCTCCCCTGGGTGAGTGCACCTACCATCGCAATTCAGCGGTCGGCATGTGGACCCCAAACTCTGCGGATGTCGGACGTCCGGCAGCACAGGCGGCGGATTGTCCATTAGCCGCAACCTCGCGCAAAGGGCACAGCTTCTGGCCTCTTGAATCCTGGAGCCGTACACATAAAATCAATGGGAAGAATCCGGCCCTTGGAAACCCCCACCGAGTCTAGCCCTAACAGTGGTGGGGGGCACCCTCACCTTGTATTACTGAGGAGAAAACCCTCTTTTGGGGAACTCAATGTTAGGGGAAGCGATCTGCTCTGGCATGTAAACCGACAACTAGATAGATACTCAGATAAATGCAACACCTCAAAAGAGTGTCGCATGCTGTAGCACCGTGTGCCCTACAGTAAACTTGGACTTGAACCCTAACGCGAGGGCTTTAGGATTACGGAGGAGGGTTCAGATCCAGTAACTGCTGAAACGCTTAGGGCTTATAAGCTGTAGGCTTTAGAAGGTTCTAGGTCCTATGTAGGTAAAGTTGCTCTTCTCGTGCGGGTCGAGGCCCGGGCCCTTCCGTAGCGGTCCGAAGCGGCGGTGTCATGACTCTCCTGAGAAGGAACTACTTGAACCCTCATATGGACACATCGGTGGTTGGGAATAGGCTTACAAATCGGCTAACTTATGATGTAATCAGTGATATATATATATATTAATACATATATGGGTTGTGGCTGAAGCCATGTCGATGTCCCATCTGCTGTCGGATGCTATGGGCAAATCGGGAAGGGGGGGTCGAAGGTCGAGGCAAGCGGAAACCGGGTCGTCTCGTAGTCGAGGCGAGAATTTCACAGCTTTACAAGACGGGGAGTGGTTGACCAACATGATGGAAGTTCCCACAGAAAGCTTCCTGACGGTCACTGCTTGCAAGAGGATCTAAGATGCTACAGGAACGCGAACTTGGCAGAACCACCGAACTCCATGTGGAGTCGAGCAGTGCAGTTTCGTCGGTGGTCAAGACCGGGCTGTCGAAAAGCATGGCACTCAGGTTCCGGCCATGAAGACCTGGGCGATGCTGGCAAAACAACGAGCCAGGCTATCTGCAACGGGCTCCCCAAGCTACTCTGCATCTGTATACTCACTGGATGTCATATGCATGCCGCTGATGTATTCTGACAGGAACGAAAAAGGACTCGATTACGCTATCCACAGCCAAGTCGCAACGCGGCCGCGCATCGCATGGGCACCTCAGTACCGCTGAAGAAGATGACGCCTCCCACCCTATAGGCCCTATGCGAAAGCTCCAGTGGATGCTCTGCACACAGATGCCAATCTCGTCACTTAATTCATGCACCCGCAGCAGGTGTACCAAACGGGCCTTGCCTGTCTCCATACAGGGGCGAATGACCCCCTAAGCCAAACCCGAAATCCTCCTGAACTGCCCCGCAGGGAAAGCTTCCGGTCAAGGCCCCTACGCCCGGGTGCCAATCCCGTCAGCCCCTTCACCACCTTGGAGAGGTCTCGGAACCTAGGAAGCCCAGGGCAGTTGTGAAAAACGCGAGTCCAACGAACGACGGCACGACTTTCGATCCGAGTTTGCGATAGGACCCGGGCTCGTCCAGCGGGTGCACCAGGGAATCGTAGATCCTGCACAGGCAACAGATGGGATGCGAATGCAAGCAAGCAGCCGGTTCGTCCAGCAGAAGAGCGCCATGTCCCACTGGAGATGGAAGCCAAGGCCGCCCCACCTCCAGACGAACCCGCGCCATTCTTGCGCCAACAAAAATGGGCTCCTTGTGCTTAGCCGTTCTGGGGCAGCCGCTGGAGGAATCCGTCGCCATCCTCCAAGTCCTCGGCGATCGCCTGCCCGAGCACTTCTGCGCCCCAGCCCGACGAGGCCAATCCAGGGAGGCATCCGAGGGCCGTGCCAGGCGGCCCTGCCGCCTCCAAACAGACTTTTTTTTCCCCGGCTCGCGGCTCCCACAATTTCAACTCGCCTGCAAAGGGTCGTCAGCTCTGCCAGAAGAGCCGCGCCACTTGGATCATGGTCGCCTTTCCATTGTCCACTGCAAGGCTGCAAAGGAACGCTTTGCAAGGCACAGCCCAGGGTCTTGCCTCCCGGTAGCTTGCGGATGGACTTTGTGGAATCCACTCGAAGCCCATCCACGCCGACACCTGAAAGCGCAAGCCCGAGGTGGAATGGGGGGGCCGGCCGATGGCCATCTTCAAGCACCAAGACTTAACAAGTACGAGAACAGGCTTGACATGGCTTGACTGTTCGTGGTTTGCAGGAAAACCAACATACTAAACATCACTAAACTGCCGTAGGAACTGGATGTTCACGCTACCTCGAGTGCACCAGCATGATCTCAGCTCTCAACGCAGAAGGAGTGTCTCTGCCGCAGCAAGGATGCATCGATTCACCTGTCAGGCAAGGAGCTCTCCAACGCCGAACTTAGCTCACCCATCTGCAGCTTCCGGTTCCCGGTGCGATTTTTTCCGCTCTGAGCAATGCCGCATCGCTCATGCCTTCATGGCAGAATCTGTGCTTTCTGCCTCTAATCGCCTCTCCCTGGGATGCAGCCCGCTCAGTGGCAACACAGCACTCATCTACCCTGTGCCCTCCAGCCAGGCATATTCGAAGGTGAAGTCATCCCTGGTCTTGACTTGCAAAGACTCCAAGTCGAAGAAGTAGAAGGATCCCCGCTCAAATCGTGGTGTCACAATCCGTGGGACATCCTGCCGCTGGAACCAAGCTTGATACTTGCAGTGGTAGCGCCAGGTGTTCCTCTTCAATTCCTCTGATGCTAGGTACTGCCGATAGGTATTGGGCTGGTAATAGAAAATGCTGAAGAGCATTTGGATTTGGGCCTTCGCAGTGGCCACCTCAAAGAAGCGTGGATCCTCGCACCACCAGGGTGCCTCCAACGGATACGCGGGCTGGCCGCTTGCATCCACATGCTCACAGGGCCTTCGCGGTTTGTAACGCATGCACTGCATAGGTGAGAGCCAATCTCCACTCCGGATGATGTGCTTTCTGGAGCACTCCAAGAGTCTGTGGCGGTCGATCAATTCAGTCGACAGCCCCTCTGTGCCCGGTGTCTCGGATGCACTGGGATCCGTGGGCACGGCAAGCGACGGAGCTGTTGCGATCAGGTCTGCGATTTCAAAGGACAAAGCTGTTGAGAACCTCGGCGGCGTTTGAGGTGGTGGGGGGGGAACCGTAGGGGGCGCTTGCCGAGAAAGGGCCGGAGCCACTCTGGGAGGCTGGCTCGGTGGTTTGCTGGGTGGTTGCAGGCGCGTCTGCTTGCTGACTTTGCCGACCGACTGCCCAAGAAGGGGAGGTGCCACTGTGGGAGGCTGGCTTGGTGGTCTGCTGGTTGGCTGCAAGCTCGTCTGGTCAATGTCCCTATGCGGCCTCCTTCGCTGCGCCATGCACGCTACGACGATGCGCCGTGGCAAGTGAAGCCTGACTAATGCCTCGGGGCCTAGTGACTGGTCACTAGGGCTTGGTGTGAGATGGGGCTTCAGATGCGAAATCCAAGCACAGCCCCGGCAGCCACATGCCACTGGTAACGACTCGATCAAAACATCTTCCTAAACCCTTCGGTTCTTCTGGCCTCTGGCTTGGAGAAGTCGGGTCGAGGCCCCCAGATGGTCTCCTGGTGCGGTGAAGCAAAAATCGAGAAGAGACGCCTTCTGTTCAGCTTCGCCTCCGGGAGGAAGAGATGCGGTCCATAGAGGAACTGAGCACCTTAAGGGCCGGCAAATTGCCAGAATGGAAGAAGCCTGGTTCTCTTTCTCTCTGAGGGTCTGGCCCCACATCATGTGGTTGAAAACAAAGTCCACAATGACGGCAAGGTCCAGCCTCGAAAGAACCGGAGCCCGGTCTCTGAGTCGCTCGGCCACAGTTCGACCTTCCAGGGCCTTTGCATGTGGGCCTGCTGAACGAAGTGTGCTAGGTCCTGCAGACCGCCGTAGGAGGCATCGACCTGGAGCTGCAAAGCACTAAGAACAGCCGTGAGCTTAAAGCCATGCTTCAAAGACCAGGTCTCACAGGCTGTGACCTATTGTCTTAGCCTGACGAAGTTGTCCTGAACGACGGGCATTTGTACAATGTTCTGGTGCGGTAGAACAGCAACATGGGTTTCCCCGCCCATTCCCTTCAACAACACGAAGAGAGCTGCTCTGGCCGACACAAGCAGGCTGCCAAAGGCGTTTACGGTCACAGCCCGCAGCTGAGCTCCCAACAGCGGCAAAGGAAATCACGTCATAGCCTGCACGGCTAGACTTGCCAGAGCTTAGCTTCTGCTACGATAATAACCAAGAGCGCGACCCCACCGATCCAACTCTCCGCTGGTCAGGCGCCGCCTCAGACTCAGCCCAGTTACACAACTCGGGAGAAGCGGGAGGGCAGAGTTGAGGCTTGTCAATCGTGGGCAACAGTGTACCCACGAAGACATGATCACGGTGAGTAACTTTGGCGGCGATGCCACCAAGGAGAATGCAAAACCACCGCCACCGCCGCCCGTGCTCCAAATATCTCCAGGGCCCAGGCACGTCCTGCTGCACTGGCCTGGCAAGTGCGCACGAAGGAAGACTCGGAATTGGCCTATGAAATCTGTTGTTAAAGGCGGCTAAGGCTGGCGCATGAGCGAAATGGCGGTTATGCCTGAACGGAGTGGCATGGAAGGGCTACAGTCGCCACGAGCCCGCTCCGCCACGAGGACTCTTGGCGGCCCGGCCGAGGTCACGGAGATGCGGCAACTTGGCAGCCGCCGCCACCAGCGTGCCCTCGCCTCGGCAACAGAAGACCAGCGTGCCTCTCACGTTAGCCCGGAAATCTGTCGCCGCCCCAGGTCGGCCTGCCATGGGCGCGTCTGAGACCAGCACTGGTGAAGCTTCCCAGATGGAGCTCGTAGAGCACAAGCCTTCGGTCGAAGATTCAGTTCAATCCCCCTCTCCCCCCCAACCAACAAAAAAAGTAAATACGAATGCGCATCCTACGCGCATCTACGCACACCGTATTCAATTGGCTTCTTTGTGAAGGAAGCAGGGCCCGGGCTCCCGGTCGCTGCACCGGGCAAACTGCTCCGGGGTCGGCGGGAGCTCCGTCTGGCAGCGCTCTCCGGTGCTTTGAAAGGCTGTCCAAAGGGGTTGATTGTGGGGGGCTTTGGGTTTCGGGCGTTTAAGCCGCGGAAGAGGTGATGCTGAGTCTGACGATTGGAGGCACGGACCTGAACTTGGGTGGCTTTACGGGGCTTCAATCCGTGCTGTTCCCGTTGGACCGAGACCCATATCCCGGCCAGGCGTACCACAATGCTCCAGTATGCAGGGCCCAGCGGCGCGAATGCCTCGAACGGGTTGAACACAACCAGGCAGCTTACAGCGATGTCTCTCTCTGCTCAGGCCCGCGCAGTCCCCTCCATCTTCGGGCTGCTTTCGTCGAGAGTCCTCGGGGTTCAGGCGAAAGTGCTCAAAGCGCAGGCTGCCCTTCCCTCTGCGGCCCGGGCCCATACCAGCCGTCCCCATCCTCTCTTTGAAGGCCAAAGGCCTGAAGAGCGGAACAAAGGCTTAGTCTTGAAATGAAAACATAAAAGAACTGAGTTGCCAACATTCGGATCCACTCGCCAGTCTCTTCTATGCCTTGGGGATGCTACAGCATGCTGAGAACAAACTCCTTCAATATGCCAGTGGGCTGTCGGACAAGCTGTGTGACGGACACCCTCAGCAAGATCTCAGTGTCGCCGTGGATGCAAAAATTGATGGCATCCCCGATCCTCAGAAGAAGCACGCCACGATGTCCCGGCTGCGCAAGCTGAAGAAAGCATTTCATCCGACCATGTGCCGGACCATTGGCCAGGCGCTAGCGGATCCTGGCGGGCTCTTCGTCAAGCACTTGAACAGACAATTTTCCGTGATCTGACTCGGACGCAAGTAACTTCTCTGAGCATCTAGTTTTCTGGGAGCCTTGGCTCGGAGAGCAGAGCCCCTTAGCCCCTGGCTTCTGCTTCCTCTTCGTCCTCTGCAGTTTGGAGCACAGCCGGAGGTGAAGCCTCTCGACAGCTTTTAGAATTGAATCCGGAAGCACCTCGCTCCCTCACAAGTCGTGCCGTCCAGCAATATGCTGAAAAGCCGTGATGCACTTTCCCATCGTTCCGCCTGAGGCATCTTCCGCAAGGTGAGCGGACCCCAAGATCCATCTGCAGCGGCAGCCTGCCAAACAAGTCATCTTGTGGAGAGTAGGAAGAGGGGGAATCAGATGACACTGCTGACGATGAATGCAAGCTGCACCATGTCGAACAAGTGATGTAGCTGTGCTATAACTTCGAACATGTGCCTGTGCTCCGGTGATCGCGACACGCGGAGCTACCAGGAGTCCTCAGCCCAAGGGAGTGTGCAATGGAGCCAGCTTCGACGGAAGTCTCCCATGAGGACTGGACCATAAAGCAGGCAAGAAGCCGCGGGCTCGTGCAAGGAAAGCGACTAAGCAGCAAACGCAAGCGCACGCCGTGGCCATCCGTGACATAGGGATTGTCAGTCGCCTCCACCAAGAGCAAATGCTTTCGTTTTGTTGGCCACTCTTGGTCCCCAATACTCCCACTAGCTAAAGGGCCGTCCCCCCTTCCCGACCCACATTCGTCGTCTTTTGCATTCTAAACCTGCTGATTGGGCTGATGCGGAGACTACACCTGCGCCTGCGACCGGGCCAAGGCGGACGCCGCAAAGCGCTACAATAAAGCCTCGAACAGGTCCCTATGCCCCCAGCGCCTGCACGAAAAACTCGGATGCAGCTAGTCCTGGGCAGCTAGGTCATTAAGTTTGGGCCGTTCACAGACCCTCCTGCCAGTGG